AAAACAAGATCATCAAGGCCCAAAATGTTTGAATAACTTCTAGAGCATTCCAAAGTCATCTCCTTTTGATGAAAAGTGGTCATATCACTATAATGTAATGCACAAATCCAAAAGTGATTCATTTTATAATATATCTTTTGGGGATTTGAAAAAAAATCAATTCATGGAAAAAATATGGTTACTAGGTTTCCTAGAACAGATAATGTATCCTGCTTCTAGAATAATGTCACAGAAATGTTAATAGTAAGAATAATAGGCCATAGAGGTAACTATAATCCTGATAGACCCTTTTCCCCAGGTTAACGTTTCTCCATAAACACCACACCATTTTCAACATATGTAACATGTGAATTGGTCACCATTTCATACTAAGGGTAAATGAAACACGTGTTTTCTCCTTGCAGATCATTAGTCTATTCAAGCTTCCACAATATTTCTCAACTCTTATTCCTATACAAAATTAACAAGTCAATCTGTCTGTCTCTACCCTCCTTTTCTTCTTTTTCTCTCTCTAATACAGACATACACTTATTCACAGACGGTCAAGATACCCTTCCTCCTCGCTTCATTATAATGACTCTCAACTTGCTCTTCCTTATTAAGTTGTATGCATGTATACATACATATGTAATTGTCCTTGAGATTACAAATCCATCTGTGAGAACGAGTATCTCCAGTGAGAGCGTGTACATAAATCCATACCCTCACACTGCCCCCATGCCTAAACCCAGTGATCCTGGGTCTTCAGGTCCACCTTTCTTTCCATGATCACTAGGTTTGAGATCTAAAACCTCAGATGGCCTCTTGAATCTTCCCCCTCTGACCCTCATCCACAAATGACTGGATGATCAAATACAAGATGCGTCTGATGCAAACAATGTTCTCAAAGTGAACCAAAGGGATTTGTGAATCTACCCAAGCAATACCATGCTCAACATTTCCAGTTGATTTGCTTCACTCTTATCAGATAAATGTGCTTGATCAAATTTCCCCTGATATTGATGTTTTATCTAGATTTTGAAATCTGCTAATATTCTTGAGAAAAGTTGTTAGTCTTAAACAGTAGTATATTATTTGTTCATATATATATATGAACAAATACATATATATATATATATATTTAAACTGTTCAGAGTGACAGTAATTGATGGTGGATTGGAGTCCAAAATCATGCCATGCTGCTGCTCCTGGAGCCATTGACCACTTAATTGACATAGTGACTTAATCAGTCAAATTTTTCTCTGATAGTTTAGAACCCTCTGCCCTCCCCCACCTCCAAATCTTAGCTAGTTCTGCCAACACCAAAAACATTTTAAAGCACTAATAGTTCACTGTACCTGGAAAAATGTTAAGTGTTTCCTACTCACAAGTGCATTACTGAACTCAACATGTCCAAAGTACATGAGACGGAGTCTTACCATCCTTGCTTCTGATGAGCATTCAAGCTGTGCTTCTTCCAAGACTGACCTGATGGATCTTCTAGCAGTCCATGGCACTGTCTAGATTCTTTGCCAGCACCATAATTCAAAGGCACTAATTCTTCCGTGGTCTGTCTCCCTTACTCAATGTCCAACCTGCATATGCATATGAGGCAACTGAAAATACCCTGGCTTTGGTCAGGTGTGCATTAGTCCTCAAAGTAATGTCTTTGTAGTTCAACACTTTAAAAGAGGTCTTACTGTGTTTCCCCGAAAATAAGACAGTGTCATATTAATTTTTGCTCCCAACGATGCACTAGGTCTCATTTTCAGGGGATGTCTTATTTTTCCATGAAGAAGAATACGGTACACACACACCAAGAAGAGGCCTATTAAAAGAGACCTCGCACTTCCTGTCTGCTCCAGCTGCGCTGCGGCCAACAGTGAGCTGCATGGTGGCACCTGCCACAACAGTCAAGTCCAAAGTTATGGTAGCTTCAGGGGGACTTATTTTGGGGGGATGCCTTCTATTTCAATGAGAGGCCAAACTGTAAGTAGGTCTTATTTTGGGGGGATGTCTTACTTTTGGGGGAACAGAGTAGGAAGCAGATGTGCCCAATAGAACATGATATTTGATTTCTTGACTGCTGCTTCCATGAGTATTGGCTGTGAATTCAAGAAATAGTTGACAACTTCGATCTTTTCTCCAGTTTTCATGTTTCCTATTGGTCCAGTTGTGAGGACTGTAATTTTCTTTGCAGTAAGCTGTAATCCATATTGAAGGCTTCCGTCCACAATCTTCACCAGCAAGTACTTCAAGTCCTCACTGCTTTCAGCAAGGGGCAGAGAATTCTGACTCACAGATTGGCTAATATCTCTATTCCTCTAAGTGTAAGAGAGCCATCTCAAGTGTAAAAACAGAGACAATGCCAGGTCTATTAAGAGAGAAGAACCCCCAGGGGAAGGGTGTATGAGATCCCTGTCTGAAGTGGCAGAGGCAATAAGACACCAGAGACCAAAGGCACCAGAGCACAAGATCCAGCTGCTGAGACCATGCTGCAGTGAGGAAAGGAGACAGGAGGCCTTTCTGGCCAAGGGAGAACAAGGCTAAGGGATCATGGGGATGGAAGGCGAAGAACCTGAAAGAGACTTGACTGCTGGCTAAGGAGAGGTGTTGCTATGGACACAGGACTGTGTCCTTCATGTTTTCTGACCCTGACACTTGATGATATGCTAAACTTCCCCAATATACTTCCATTAATTGTGAGCATTCTCTGTGAGTTCGATGTAGCCACTGCAATGGATTATTAAACCCAGCACAGACATTGAGTGGCATGAGAGGAATGCCTAGTGTCAAAATCAGGTAAAAGGATGGAATGTGGGTCTATGTCTGGCCTCTGCCTGTGGGAATTGGCCTTGGGCCCATGTACACTTGGATTCTTCTTCTCTTTTGTTTAGAAAACAAAGGTCAAATGTGGCTGCCATACCATTTTCTCAATTTTACAACCTTTTCTTTTTTCATATTGCCTTTTTAGATACTCTTTTCCTAATCACCCTTCCTATAAGATCTTTTGTTGGTATTGTTCTTTAATTATGGTATGTGTATATGTTCATTGGGCATGCATAATTAAATATATCCACTTTTCCATTTCAACATCTTGGACATATACAGGTCAGTGACAATGACAACATTCATCACCATGTGCAACCATCACTGAGATTCTGTTAAGGGTGATGAAAAATATTGGAAATGGGTACTGGTGATGGTTACTGTGTTAGCCTGGGTTGACTAGAGAAACAAATCCATAAGAACTCATATGTGTCTAAAAAATAACTTTATATACAAGAGCAGCTGTACATTAAGAAAACATCCCAGCCTAGTCCAGAACAAGTCCATAAATCCAATATTAGCCCATATGTCGGATATCAATCTATAAAGTCCTCTTCTGACTCACAAAACACATGCAATGATGCCAAATTCAGGACAATCACAGGCCAGTGGGTAGAAAGTCTTTGGGTCTAGTGGTGTTGTACGCCTATCAGCGCTGGCAGGAGTCTCCACACAGCTTTTCCAGGCCCACGGTTCTGGTTGTATCAGGGTAGGTCCATGTAGTTTCTCCCCAGGGATGGCTCACAGGGAGTGTGAGAGAGAGAGAGATTGTGTCTTCTGCCTCCCAGAAAGAAATCCCCAAGTTTTTCCAGAATCCTCAGGGGAAGGCCATGCCCCCACAGAGGCCTCATCATTGGTTCTATCTTGATTGACAGGCCAGACTCCACCCTTTCACTCGTAATCCTCTCAAATTGACACCAGATTATGTAACTACCGGTTACCCATGAGATTTTAGTATCACAATATGTGTTGGTTTATACTGTATGTATATTGATACTTTATAATACAAAGAGTAAGCTTTTTTTTTTTTTACACACTAAGTTAACCACAAAGTCAGTAATTCAAACCACCAACTCCTCTGTGGGAGAAAGATGTGACCATCTGCTCCATTAATTACAGCAGTCGAAAAAACTATCTAGTTCTACTCTGTCACTCGTAATCCTCTCAAATTGACACCAGATTATGTAACTACCGGTTACCCATGAGATTTTAGTATCACAATATGTGTTGGTTTATACTGTATG